AACACGCACGTGCATGGGTCTCAATCTAGATTTGGGGTTCTATGGCTAAATGAAGGCATACACAGACGTGCCGCTGGAATGGGTCCCCTTTTTATATTAAATTATATTAATGGCATACACTGAATTTCACTGAGGTCAAATATCAATGGGTCAGTAATTTTCATCCTCCGAATTTTACTTGATGTTCGTTTAAAAGATAAACGGTGAATCCATGTCCGTAAACGGAAAATACTAGTTCATTGTTTCCTAGCAATGTGCAATTTACTATCCATGTCTAAATTCTAGGATTTTTATCAATATACGGACATGGATAATAGTAAATTGCCCACTGCTAGGAAGCAATGAACTTTGATTTTTCAGTATAGGACATGCATATTAAATTGTACATTGCTAGAACACAATGAAATATCCTTACCAATGTTGAAATCGTTGTACAAATAGACAGGAAATACGAAAACAGTTCAAAAAGCATTGCATAACAAATATATCCGCGAAACGTATATTTATAGAGGTGCATATCACGTATGTTTACACCAATGTTGTTTTCAGACCTGAAGAATGCTCATAAAACTTATCTGGTGCATCTATCTCCTCTACAAAGTTATATTCGTATTTAGCAGTTTGCCCCCCCCCCCCCGCCCCCCCCCCCCCCCCCCCAAAAAAAAAAGAAGAAACAACCACTTATAAAGTTACTATCTTACTTAACTCCGAGGCTGTATCAACTATGGAATATGTATTATAGATGGCCTGCTCGTTATTGCCTTATTCAAAAATATCCCTGAAAAGTATATTAGTGTAGTCGACACATTGCTAAATGCTGTATATCATATATGACAGAAACGCAACATGAAATTTCATTGAAATGTAACCATTTTTAAGAGCAAAGAAAAGTATGCCGTTAAATGGCTACTCAAATGTTCCTAAACAGTATTTTTCTTCACCAGCAGACTGTACTATAGCTATAATATACAGTAAGATTACTAAGTGTACGCACACTCGGCGGAGGAAAGGAGATTTAAACCCAAGATAAATTCCACTTCAATGGGCTTTATTTTTCGGAATTTTCGGAATTTCTGCTTATAATCGCGTGCATAGCGGAGAAGTTGATCTCACTGAGGATAGCATCCATGCCGTACTCAAATCCTTAATCGATTGGAATTGTAAAACCCGACCCGAAATAATCCGATTGAGTTCACTAAAAAGATCAGAAATTATCCAGCATTTGCATATTTAATCTAAGAGACCCTTAAGTATCAAGAAAATTAACAGATCATACCCTAAATTATCCGAATTTAAATTGACATACATCCAATAAGATTTTACTTAGAAAAACATGTGACAAAAGGGAATTTGCATAGAATTACAAAACACGTACTCGAAATCTGACATTCTGACAAAAAGGCTACCCGATATCTGCTTTAAAGACCATTGCAGACCCGAAAGACCAATGCCAATCCGAAATTTCTTGAAACTCACAAAAATGCCCCGAATTTTCCTCACATAAACAAACAATAGTTATTCCCCGACCCTCCCAGTTCACCCGAGAAGACAGCCATCACTCGTAACCAACCTAGGTTTACACATCCATACCTAGAACTGACAGCGAAATAAAGCGTAAACAATGATCTATTATTAATGCTTTCGATCGATTTGTGTGACTCGCGGCTTAACTTCAGCCCGAGAGCAAATATTTCATGTTCACGACAACAAATAAACTAACATTATGATGTGTTATGTTCTTTACATGTAAATTTAAGCCGAATGTAAACCTGCTCACACAAAAACAGTCCACAGAAAAACATTCTAACCACTCAATCATATTCCGATAATCCCACTTTTCGGACCCATATATATCAGTTCACACCGTTTTCCCCTTATTGGTACATATAAAGACATTGAGCGGGGACATTTTAGTTGAAATTGTAAAAAAAATATTTATTTCGTTTCATTTCGTTTCGTTTTGCTGTATTTCGTTTCGTTTTGTTTTGTTCCGTTCCGTTTTTATTTCGTTTCGCACTTTTCAGGTACCCGAAGAAAAAAAACTACTTTTAAAATAATCATGGACAAAACTTTTAACCTTCCGAAATATGCCAAAATAAATAACGAGAAAGGCAAATTTATCTGAATTATGAACACGACAAATGACACAGCCGCCATTTTGAAAAATCCTGACATCGTCGAAAAATTCATGGTTTTAAATCGATTAGGGACGTAATTTGCCAACAAATTACACTGTTAAAATAGGATTCAGCGCTAGACGTATGTTTCAGATGTTACAATATAGCAGAAAAGTTCTACATTTGTTGAAAGAATTTTGTGAAATTGATGTATCAGAAGACAAAGGTTTGTTAGTTTTGCAATACAGTCAATGGGCAGAGGGGGAGAAAAAGAGCAATATATTTACAATTGACCAGGGACGTAATATCATCTAAATTTAAACTGTCAGGGTCAATATTTTAAGAAAGATTTATGTTCGATGACAAAGGAAAGAGCTGCAAAAATTAGAAAACGGGTCGGATTAACGAAAAAAAAAGATTATTGAAAGGCCAATTCAATTATATGAGATAAATCTACTTAAGATGGCGGATTGCTACGTCATCGAAGTCACGTGATGTCTTACTGACCTGAACACATGACGAGCTATATGACCAAAAGGGACACAAACATAAAAGCCAATATTTAAGTCTATGAATTAACTGTATAACTTAGAACTGTGATTTATTTTCTCATTTTGTACAGATTGAAAACTACTTGCGTGCTTACAACAAAGTCAAGATAAGGGCAGATTATAGCCGGATCTTTCAACTTCAAAACATAAATTTTAAAAATAGCAATCACTTTGAGGTTTTCGCCAAGTTGTCAGACGCAAAGAAACTTAAGGTGGATCATCGGTATATATATTTCCTCAGATAGAATTTTCTTATACTTTGCCAAAATGAAGATTTTACTATACGCTTTTTTAAAAAATATAATAAAAAGTATGGGTCACCATGCTATTTTTTCGAGCTACAAGTCGTGCAAAATTGCACAAATTTGCATAGATTGATCATGAAAAAACACATTTTTGTGAATAAAAAGAAATCTATGAGATAGAATTTTGAAATAAACTATGGGGAAATAGGTTTTATAATATGCTTTAAGAAAATAAAAAGAAAAAATGGTGTCACCGAACTTGTTTTCTTGCTACAAGTAAAAAAATGAAAATTTCACAATCATTCTAGTATTAAACTTTTGCTATAAGAGTTATCTCCCCTGAAATGGCTAAGTTTGAAAAATTGATTCTAAAAAACACAAATATTTGGTATATGTTTAAGTATTTTGGATAATGCAATAAATCACTTTTTTTTCTTTATATAATTGAAAAGTCTCACACATAAATTGCAAATCTGTCTCAAAATTTGCAGATTTAGGCAAAGAACTAGACCTGTTATGTACTGCTGTTGTACAATCCAAGATAGCGGTATACAGTAAATCTACCTTAATTTAAGCTTTTTTCTAGAAAATTTGTTCTTTATGGTGCGGAATGGTAACGTACTTTTCTTTTTTTTTTCTGCGTTTCCTGACAAAACATGTTCAGCAACAGACTTTTTGTGATACGAAAACGTAATTTTAATGCAATTCGCTTAGAACGACAATTTTCATTGAACATTGACAAATATTTTGAAGGGATAGATTCCACGTTCTCGTAACTAAAGAAAGCCACCATTTTGAATTCCGAAATTTTTTGGTATGTTATTTCTCAAAAAATAAACAAACAAAAAATTTCACATTTTGTGTCTAAAAATTTTCTTTTTGTCAATATTTAAACCATTCAGAAGCCGCGTACGAAAGTATAAATACGTCTAGTGTTTATATTTGACATCGGGACTATACACATGACGCCACATTGTTTAGATGCCAAAGACGGCATTTTTAAGCCAAAACATTTACTAAAATGGAATTTATTTTAATATGTGGCATTACAATGGAGATAACTGTATTGAATCTTAAGCTTGGCCTTCGTAAAACTTTATTTTCGTGTCGAAAATATCCGTTTACCTTGCTCCGCTACACGTCGCTAGGTAAACTCAATTTGCGACAGTAAAATCTACGTTTTATAAAGGCCAAGCTTAAAATATAATACAGTTATCTCCTTATCATAAGAATTAAAATTGAGAATGGAAATGGGGAATGTGTCAATGAGACAACAACCCGACCATAGAGTTGAATGTTTCTTTCATAAATTTATAGGGTAGTAAAAGCGTAACGTTGATCCTTTGCACATTTTTAGTAAGAAGCGCGGAATATTTTGGTCTAATGCTCTTTAAAGAATATCTAAAAAAAAAAACACATTTTAATCCGCTCTATGCAAAAGAACGACAAAAAATGAAATTAGACAATTTTATATATATATTATTGAACTATTGTGGAACAAAATATTTGGTCTTATAATGACAGAGACGTATGTAAATATATGTCTCTGCTAATGAAGACAAAAACATTATATGTATACTAACAAATTGTATGCAAACTAACTATGGAATAAAAAAATACTTTTCTTAATATACATGTATTTTCACATTATATATGTAAACATTTGTATTCAGACATCATACCAAGATTTAAAATGTGTACTTAAACATTTCATTATAATTTTTCAAATACTGTCATGTGTAAGAACATAGTTTATCTTATTGTTATCTTTATTTGAATCATTCCATCACATTCTATACATGTATGTATCTTTATCAGTGCCCTACAAGTGCCAACAAATTTAAATAAAAAGATATGTTTAATGTTTAAAGTTAAATATTATATGACAATATGAATGGATAAGTTTTTAAAACAAATATTTCGACATGCAGAGAAATAATCCTTTCTAATTTTCCTTTTTTTAATCATTAATATACTTTTGTTTGTATCGAATGTATAAATCGGACATTATTGTTGTATTTTGTTAAAATCTGGATTTGGGCTTTAGTTGAAGATTGAAGTTGAATTTCCTCCAATCAATACAAAGCTTAAATTTGCCCCTGTACTACTCCAAGAATTTCCTTTTCCGGTGAAATTAAAACGTAAACATGCGTTTAGAAAAGTGTTACTTCTGTTCTTCCACTGTATATCCTGGACACGGAATACAATTTGTTAGAAATGATTGTAAAGTAAATATACACGTCTAATTATAATAGTACAATAGTAGAATAGTTCATGATGTCACAGGGTTCATAATTTTACTTGATTTAAACGGAAAAAATACTGTCTATTTTAACAGGTTGGGCTCAAGTCAGGAAAAGTGGGGTATTGCCTGTTTTCAGGGATCACCCCAGTTTTCTGGTGTTAAAAAAACCCAGTTTACAGGGACTTCCTTTTTCTATTTCAATTTATGGCATGAAATTTACAAAAGCGCAAGTTTTAACTGTATCAGTAGTATTTGTAAATAGTATTGTAAATACTTTAGTATTTCAGGAACAACAAAACATGAATAAGTGACGCCTTGATTTTTCTAGAACTCAAAAACATACAAATCTTTTGTTTAGAAATCAGTTGATCAAGCTGCATGCTCCAGGTGTAACTGATCATAACTGAATTATGTTCACTTCTATTGAAAATTTCTATTCATTGAATTTAAATGCCTTAGTGATTAACTTATCTTTTTGTCTTCTCATAAATTGATGATCAAGGTATGAATTGGTGAACAAAGGAATTGTTTTGTTGCGAGTTGAGCATCAAATAAGACTTGAAATTAGCTTGATTTTTGAACTTATAAAAACACTTGCTATCATATAACATTGTTATCACATGTAGAAGGTGCGCTTTTGTAGATTTCATACCATAAATTAACAAGGAAAAAATAAGTCCCTGTTTACTGGGGTTTTTTAACACCAGAAAACTGGGGTGTTCCCTGAAAACAGGGAATACCCCACTTTTCCTGACTTGAGCCCAACCTGTTTAATGGGCCTCAATTTGTAAATTTTAATAAAAGGCACTTGTTATCAAAGAAAAAGGACGAAATTTGAACAAAAATCTGCCTGATTGATCAGGTGAGTTTCCCATAAGAACTCATTTTGTTTTTCTAGAAAATCGTATATACTTTAACCATGTTAACAGTAGTCCGAGATTACTCTGACGTCCAATGGCTGTTTTGCCAGACAAGCTGGGGCTGTGGGACCCACAGCCCCAGCTTGTCTTGCAAAACAGCCGTTGAACTAGTTAACAGTAGACTAATTTTATTACCTACAGTTACACCTACAAAATAAATTTCAAATTATTTGACGTCATAATTTTGTCATTATTCATTTTGTTAAACAGATAAATAAATTTGCAGGAAATTGTATGATTTACAACATGGCAGCTACTGCCACCAGAACAGGAACAGGGTTTTGCGTAAGCAATGGCAAGTGTAACTGTTGTGAAAAAAGTTATTAAAGGAATTTTGATTCATTAGCATATTAATTTTTTTTACTGTTATTGTGGATTTTGTCTTCATTATGACATATGATTTTAGTCAAAAACATAAAGAAACACTTAATTCTCAAAGAAGGTTTGATAGAATTACCAGTATTCCGATTTAGATATCAGGAAAATTGAGGATTTCTCCATGACAGTGAAAGCCTTGAAGAACGAAGAAAAACCAACCGACTATGTATGCTATTTAAGATGCAGCATGGTCTACCATGTCTAATAGACAATGATAGATGTAGACGGACAACAACATCTAATCCCCAACCACAGCACTGCCAGAGGTACATGTATAGGCTGCTTTTATCAAGAAAGAACAAAAACTGACACCTTTGGACAATCATTCTTCCCAAAACCCATCAAGGATTGGAATCAACTTCAATCTAAAGTCACCTCAGCCGACACAATAGATTAGAGGGATTAAAAGCTGCTCTGAAAGCAGGCTCTGAAAGGAAGTTAAAGTAGACAGCACAGGGCTCGACAATAATATTTTAAAACAAAGCTGATTGAACATGTTGAAGTAATTAAGGTATTAATCATATAATCAATATTTTATCAACATAAAAGACCAGGATACAAAACAAATGAGTGTACTAGACTGATAGGCCTACAGACTGTGCCTCGTGTGCAGAGTCTGATGAGACTTTGGCATTGATGAAAATAGAACCTAAGTCCTGTGACATGACTAGATTCAGTTGTTCTCGACTCATATGTTTTTGAAAAGGATATCAAGAGAAATAAATCAAATTCTGTTCTGTTGTTTTAATTCATTTTGTTCATTGAATCAACTTAAAATGCAAAAAAGGGTAATATTAAGAATTTTTTTTTGGACAAGTTACAATTCCATTCGGACAAGTAAGTTTTGGTATGTACTTGTCCTATTGGACAAGTTAAAAAAAAGTTATTGTAGAGGCCTGCAGCACATCCTGTATATAGTTTTAATTGTAAATTGTTGAATTTTTTAAATGTAAATAACTCTGAGAAGACTAGCTGTGTTGCCCAACACTGCGCAAAGTTTTCGCGAGACCATACACATTCATGTATGAATTAGGTTCCTTACCATGCTTACTTGGAAGAAGAAGACAGTATTCCAGACGGGAATACACCTTATTTATTTGTCTGCCATTACTGGAGATAAGAGACGTGTCAGTAAAATTTTAACTCACAAAAACAGAAGTGTCTGACACCACAAAAGAAAATTATTGCAGATTTCATAAAAGGGGTGTCTATTTGAAAAGCAGAGTGGTTATATGGCACTATAATGTGTAAACTAAATTTGAAAAGGCACTTTAGCGTGTAAAACAGATTGAATACATTTTGTCAAATATATAAAATAGTCACATTTTGCTTTTTTTCTCTGACCCTACATGTGAGTTACGTTTCTTAATTAAATTTGCAAACCAAAAACTGAATGAAAAATCACTTACATTTGTTGTACATCCATGTCATTTGAATTCTGTTTAAAACATTTATAGTTCTAATGTCTCATTGGCAATCCTGCATGTACAAAATTGTTCTAAAGTAATGAATAATTACAATTTGAAAAATAATTTACATGTTGTGCATTATCGTTTAGCATTCTGGTGGTTTATTCTTACATATACATTGTAGAAGCACCCCACATGCATGACATGTTTAACAGTTAACCTATTGAAAAAAAAGTAAATTCCTACATTTTAATATATTACAAATACCATGATTACAAAGGATTGAATACTTAAGCATTAGCTGTCAAATTCATGTTCATCGATTTGACTCAAATTCTCATATTTGATTTATAACATACTAAAATGTATATCCAAATTATAAAAAGTCTAAAATAAACAATTTACGATGCATGAACTTCATAATATGTATCAGCATTTCGTGTGTATTTTAGACTAGACGCCATCTAATTAACAATTGAAATGACCTCCGAAGACTATCGCTCGGAGCCCTAGGGTGTTTCCTATTGGACAGGAAGATGAAGGCCATTTTGGTCGTACTATGATGATTTTGTTGACTATTTTGGTTTTGAAGGTCTTCTTCACAATGGCTGTTCTCAGGGCCTGGTAGGTGAGTTGTGCAGCCGCCAACCACGATGATGAAGTACTGGTCGATGAGTCTAGGACGTTGTAATAATGATGACAGGAAGCATTATCAGGACCAAAGTCGTGAGACAGTGAAATGGTGGTCCATTATCCAACACCATGGATATAGTCCCTCGAAAGTCAGACGGCATAACACTCCCCCATCCATAATGGGTTTTGGAGCGTTTGCTGACGATGACATTTACATTTGTACATCAAGACGAAATGCAGACTGCATGGCGTTGAACTGGTTACCAGTGGCGGATCCAGAAATTTTCATAAGGGGGGCCACTGACTGCCTAAGAGGGGGCCCGTTCCAGTCATGCTTCAGTGATTCACTATATAATCAACCAAAAGGGCCCCCCCCCCCAAATGCGCCTCTGGTTTCTGTCATCAAATATAGTACATCATTGAGCCATTCATCAGCAGACCAACATCGTAGTTTGCAGGTAAAGTGGAGCTGACTAAGCACATTCGTTCAGCTATAATGACTGAGATGTGACTGATGTATTCAACCTATATAAGAATGATATTTTGTGGATCTAATCAGTCAACCAAATAGTTTACCCTTGTTTCACTTTCAACATGTTCAATGCTGACAGTTAAAAGTGAATTATTATTTCACTATTTCATTTTCATAAATGATTGAACCAAAAAAATTCATATTTTAATTTTTTTTATATCTCGTAGCTAATGCCCCTTTAACTTTTGATCTTTCACATGCTGATAACTGCTGTTGATAGCAAATACTACATTTTTTTTAAACCTTCCCTGAAACTTATGGCCACATCTGCATATCTACTGAAAGATTTAGTACTATTTAATTATATTCTATTAAGATACTAGGGTGACGTAGATATAGAAGCCATGTTACTAAGGAGGTTTATAGTTGTTTACGATAGATTTTAATGTTTTTTTTAAATCGTGCCAAAATACTTAAAATTTAAAAAAGAAAAAGTTGTGATATTACTATTAATTACAAAAGAACTTCCTTTGGCAAATCACAAATTAAATTACAATGTTATGACCCTTAATCATGCATTATTGGTGTTGTAACGTCAGTTTTGGTTACATTTTCCGTAATTTACAACAGCATTACATGTTAAGTAAAATTTACTTTGGCTGCAAGCCCTGATCCAATTTTTTTTTTGTCTAGGGATTCAATATAAACTGTTGCTTCATAGGTTGCAGCCAGGGTTGATCTAAAGCTTTTAATTCCAAATGATGCACAATAATGAAGTATATTTACAATGATCATCTTTGTAAACCTAAAAATGTCATTGTAATCCTAACAGTTTCATTGTTATTTTGTAAGTGAAATTTACACAACTTATTTTGCTATATTTTACAGATTTTTAGATTCTGCAGATCAAAATGTCATAGAGCATTTAAAAAGAAGAGAAATCCAAGAAAAGCAAAATGGACAAAGGCTTTTAGAAAGGCTGCTGGAAAAGAATTAACAGTAGATCCATCATTTGAGTTTGAAAAGAGAAGAAACGTTCCTGTAAAATATGACAGAGAGTTATGGCAGACATCAAGTAAGTTCTTGTCTAATCATTGCATATAGTTGTATAAGGGTTATGTAAGTAAATACATTAAAAATGAAATAACAAATGATATGATAAAATATAAAAAGATTTTTTTTTATGAAGCATGCACATGATGCATATGAATGTAAAAAATGTAAAATAGTAAATTACATTTTGAAATATGAAGATCAAATATCTAAAAAAAAATTAAATTGTTATGACATCACATCATGTATGATTGTTTTATGCTTTCAGTAAAAGCTATGAAGAGAATAGAAGAAATAAGAATTAAACGACAGAATCAGTACATATTAAATAGGTCAGTATGTCAGTTTGCAAAGATTAAAAAACTTAATTGACTAAGTTATAGTACCAGTATTGTTCATTCTGTCATTGGACATGTTGAAAGTTTGCACATTTAATTTGTATTTTTTTGTATGTTCCATGGGTAGGTCCATAAATTACCCTGATTTAGACTATTTAACAATTTGAAATAGCAATGTTTAATTATTCATACTGATCAGAATTTCATGGTGTGACCCAGTGTCATCAACAGGCTGACAGGGTTCGACATTAACTTTTATACCAACTTGTCCAGTTGGGCAAGTGCCCTATTACTTTTACTTGTCCGAAAGTGAAATCTACATGCCCAAACTTTTACATGCCAGGGTTGATTGTTGTGCCATGATGGCAGCAAGTAGACTTGACCACTGAGATACTATGAGGCATATATGAGCCGAGGAGGGAGGGAAAAGATCGAGGAATATATGGGAATTGGATCATTTACATAGAGATACTTATTTCATAATAATTTATCTAAGAAATGCCATTTCAAAAAAACCTTAATAAACTGACAACAACTAACAAATTTGTTAAAGTTTAATTTCATTTTCTCTTTCAAGCTTTTATGTTTTCCATCTTCATGATCTTAGGGAAATACACATCCGATGTCAAATTCTAAAGTTAGAACAATGAAAATAGACCTCCGCTTTCCATTGATCGGTGGGAATAAAACGTGCGTCGGAAACGCCAGAGTGGTGTCCCGATTGATAACGATAATGACGAAGCAAAGCCGCGGCCACCTGATTGGCCAATATTTTTAAACGTGATCTATTTTTGGTAAAATGGGGAATTTAGTGCGAACAAATGACGAAATATATGCATTGAAGGGGGGTTAAGACCACTTTACTCGACCGTGCGGTGTTATCACTGAGTAATCTATGGACAAAACAACAGACACTATTGATGTTGTGAAATTTTAATCATATAACAGTTTTTTTTTCACTTGCCCGATCGGACAACCAAGATGATGTTTTTACTTGTCCGAAACAGCATTAACTTGCCCCGGGCAATCGGACAACCGTAAGTGTTGGACCCTGGGCTGTATGACAATAAACATGCATAGATGTATAAAAATATAAAATGATTGTCTTTTATGAATAGAATTTCCTATGTTTAATGCATTTCTATCAGAATTGTGTTCAATGAATCTATTGTTTAATCAACACATTCCACACTTCTTTAAAAAGAATAAAAGCCCTGATTATATATCATGTATATTCAGTTCACAAACTAAAGTAAAGGGTAAATAAAGTGACAGTTTAGACATTTGAATAAGAATACATGTGTAATGTGGCTGTTATGCATGTAATAAATTAATGGCTCCCTGCATTTGGAGGAAGACCCTGCTATTTCCTGTTGTTTTCTGTCTAATGCAAAATATCATATATTATACATAAGAATGTAATTTAACTATAAACTGCATCACTTTATTCCATTACAGTTAGTCATGTCCTGTTAATTTCTTAATCAGAGTTTTATCTGAGATTTCCCAATAGCAAACCACAGACTTCTCCATTTCTGCATATGAAGAGGAAGTTTTTCATAAAATTCATTCCAATAGATAGAAGTTTTTTTTAAGTATCAGATGAGAGATTTCTTACAAAACTTTGCGTTGTCAATCGTATGCTCAATATAAATGAGGAGATGTGAATTTATTGCAAATGAGACAACTATCCACCAGAGAAGTAAAGACAAGGATGAAAACACTCACAGGGCTTTCCACAATGTACAAAACCCATACTGTATAGAAAGCTATAAAAGGTCCTGGCATGACTAAATGTGAAACAATTCAAAAAAGGAAACCAATTGTCTGATTTTAATATTTATTACCGGTACATGTTTGATCTCTCTCAAAATTTAATTACTCATGTTAATAATTGCATGGTCCTACCTATAATTATACATATAAATGAAGTTTTATTTAATTTAGTAAATGCCATGTAAATGGTCTTGTACTGTACATTAAAAATCACACTGTGACATCCTTTCACAATATAAAGCAAATTAGAATAAGTCATCTTGTACATTGTATACATGTAAATCATTAAAATATTTGATAATTATGAAACAAATGCTCAATTCTAGATTAAAGAAAGGTAAAGAACTGAGGAAAGAAGCTGATGTGAAGGAAGTAGAGAAAAATATTCACTTGATAAGAGCACCAGGAGGTAAACAAAATTTAACAACCCTTATTCATATTATATTTGATGGCTTGACCAAAGACAATGTGATATTTTACAATCAGTGAATTGTAATAAATTCTAGGGACTTTTATTTCCAATGACTGAAGCTAATGATTCTAAACTCAACAGTTATGTTTTTCATGGCAGATTTGATACTGTAAATTTAGAAATTATTGTGTTTATTATTGCCATTTCAACATGGCAGACCAAAATGTAAGAATAATTATTGTGATTACAGGAAAATCTGCATACAAATATATGTGTCAGATTTCAAAATGCGAGTTATTATTGTGAAACTCACCCAGTCGCATTAATATTCACAATAATAAAAAAACCTGATAATGATTTCTGGACTTACATTATTTGCTTTACGCATGGACTACTTGGTCTTATAGTTTAAGCTGAAACATTGTGATAACTAATTTTAGCATCATTGTTGTAATACCTATGTATTTATATGCAACACCTTTTAAACCAGCATGACATGGATTTCAGTGAAACTTTCATATAAGGATAAGAAGATGTGGTTTAATTGCCGATGAGACAACTCTCCACCAGAGACTAAATGACATAGAAGTTAACAACTATAGGTCAGCGTTATTCATGAATTCTTGAGAAAATTTTTACATTAGCAAACTTCTCTTCAATTAAGGCTAAACTTCAATGAAACTTTAAAAAAAGCCAAATATGCACAATAAATCTTACCACCAAAACACATACAAAAAGTTTTACCTAAGAATTTAAATAATCATCGATTTTGTCTCCAAGTTCACATCTCTTATATGTTAAAAACATTAGTGGTTAAAGGTTTGCTTCAAATATGGGAGGTAGTGGATTGATATTTGACAGGGACGACCAAAAAATTGAAAGTTTTTTTAGCTGCTTCTTCGTCTATCATGCTGCAGGTGGTAGTATGAGCAAAGATTGATTAGCTCGAAGTCAGAATAATGTTTCTATGTCGGTTGACATGTCTTCTGTAGATTGTTACCTAATTACCTAGCACATTTAAAATTTGAATCTGTGTGTCAATCTATTTCAAAGCAGCATATAATAAATTCAGAAATAATGGCATGCATTTATTATTGACTTTGTGATTTTTGAAGAATTAACAAAAATGCGAGTTTAATTATTGCGATTTTAGGAAAAGCTACATACAGATATGTATTTGATATCAAAATGCAAGTTTTTATTATTGCGATACTCAAGTAGTCCCATTATTCGCATTAATAAAAACCTCGCAATAATTTCTGAATTTACGGAAACTTTCTTATCACATTATTTGTCCTATGCAAGGCTTCCAAAACGGTCATATATTCCGGACATTTGTATAATGTCCGGTAAAAGTCCGGCTGGGCAAAGCACGAAACGGTCATCTATTTTTTAGTTTTCAAGGCTTTTTTAGAGACAGTCACAATAATTTTTAATATAATTCGCGATCTTTTTGACCCAACCTTTTGCCTTTAACAGCCACACATTTCCGGTCATATAAGTGACATGATCATTAAGTACTATCAAAACAACCCCTACTCAATACCTTCTCATTTTAATCAAGGCTAATTAGTTGTCGAACAGCTGAAATTGACCTGTTCAGGTGACAGGTAAACTATTTTGAACTGGACATTGATCGGTCTATTCAACTTATTTTCTTACATTTCACTGGTTTGCATCTGATTAATTTAGTTAAAAAGATTTAAATTATCAGAAATACATTTACAAATATGATTTGATGAAAAAATTAAAAAGGTGAAAATGAAAAATCGTCATAACCACGTTGTTTGAACCAGAGACATGTCTCTGTTTGAACTAGTACACGTGTGCGCATGTGCGCAGGTGTGAAATTTAATTATGCATCCTAATTTCTTTAAAAAATGCTTAAATTGTCATTGATGCCTTTATCTCACGTTTATTTCGAATATTTTCTTGAAGAAATAACGTAGAATGAGCTACTTATACACTCATTCATGCTTTGCAAACGTACATGGAATTTACGTATCCGTCTGGTCCATGTTTTACCATTGTCAAGATAACATCCGGTAGATTTAAAAACGAAAGTAAAGTTTTTGACAACGTTATTTTGCACAAATAAAAAGTCTAAGGCAGATATAAGTACGGTGATGTTGCACACTGCGAATGATGCACTGCCAATTTAACAGTTTACGTCAGAACTTCGAATTTGAATCAAAGAAAGTTTAATATCGTTTTTTTTAATGTCAACCATTGGGATGGCCAACTCAGCAACTGCATGATTACCATAATTGCCTTTTCTTTATTTAGTCTTAAGGGATTAAAATCGGGTTAATATATAAAATGTCCGGCTGGCTAAAAATGATTTTGGAAGCCCTGGTCCTATGTAATGTATATTTGCCATTAGAAATATAAGCAGCTATTTATCTTATCTACTTTCATTATTATATTCATTCAGCAGAGGAAAGTACTGTCAGACATGATGGTAGGACTTTATCAACAATTGTTGAGTTTCCCTTTGTATTTTTATTTTAGCTAAAGGAAAACAGTTGGAAAGAAAAATGGTACAAGTCATCAAAGAAGAAGATGTTGATATGGATGAAGAACTGTGATCACAAGACATTTTGTCATCTTAATAAACGAACTTATCATTTACATTGAACATGTTAAAACATTTTTACCACTGAAAAGATACAAGAAATGACACTTTAAAGGAAACTTTTTGATGATTCACCGGTCATTAAAATAAATTGTAAAAAAACAATTTTTCTGTTTATTATCATTTTCTAGTTGAGAACAATTCAATTGAACAAGATCAGTATATATAGCATACTGGAAGTTTTTTTCTATTTCATAAAAATGTTTCAAAGCCCATAAAGTTTTGTTGGTGAGCCTGCAATAGATCATTTCTTAAAATACTTGTAAAAGGGGAGAAAAGATAGTTGAAATAATTTTTTTCTTGAAAATTGTGCACAGAATAATTGTTATTTCAAAATTTTTACACAAATTAAAGTTACTTCTTTACTGATAGGTGATAGTTTCAGTTTGCTTTTTGTGCTTTGAATCTACTGTTCCTTGACCTTATAGACGTTTACCCCTCAATTAGCTCTGTTGGTAGTGATTCAATCTCTTGTTGATACAGTGAATATTTGGGAAGAAATATCATGCTCTCCTGTTACAATATATATGAATAAAATATGTTGGATTACACCAAATGGGACAGCAACATAACAACACAAAAAATACCTTTAGCAGTCTTCAACAAAAGACACTATTGACTATACAATATTGTAAGCTCTGCATTGTCCAAAGTCTTGAAAAATTCTGAATAAATTAAAAAAATCTGCCATCAATTTCAAATTTCGTATAACAAAAATCATTAAGATATAACAAAAGGCAACCACCTAAGAGGTTCCTGGTGTGGAACAGGCACATGTATGTATTTTATTTTTTTTATGGTAAAGTATTTTTACTGTACTGATTTTAGGCCCAAATACTAATTGGCTGTGAAAAATTAAAATAACAAAAATATGGAACTCGTAGGAAAATTCAAAACAGAAAGTCCATTATCAAATGGCAAAATCAAAATCTCAAACACATCAAACAAATGGAAAACAATTGTCACATTCCCGACTTGGCACAGTCCCTCCCATGTAGAAAATGGTGGATTAAACCTGGTTTTATAGCTAGCCAAACCTCCCACCTGTATGGGAAAGATAGTGTTACCAATGTACATTATTACATACCTCAGTTGTCGGACTTATTATCTTTGGGATATTGATATGAATTTTTGGTATATTAGTGGATATGATATTTAACTTACGTTTTATATGTTGTTAGCTCACCTGGGTTGAAGGCCCATGTGAGCTTATGCCATCACTTGTCGTCTGTTGTAGTCGTAAACTAAAAAAAAATTTCAAGAATCTTCTCCTTTGAAACTAATGGGCCAAATACCTTCAAACTTCAACTGAATGTTCCTTAGGGTATCTAGTTTATATATTGTATCCGAAGTTTTGATCCAATAACAAACATGGCCGCCATGGCTAAAAATAGAACATAGGGGTCAAATGCAGTTTTTATACGACCTTGATTTTGGGGGTTATGGTACCAACAGTTAAGGAATTGGAGGCCAAAAATAAGCATTTTCTAGTTTCCAGACAATAACTTGTGGAACGGTGTATGGATCTCTCTGAAATTATACCACAAGTTTCCATACCACAAAGGGATGGTTAGGATTTGCTTTGGGGGTTATGGCTCAAACCGTTTAGGAATTAGGGGCAAAAAAGGGGGAAAAACAAGGTTGTCCTGGTTAATGGATAAATACTTTGTACAAAACATAATTTAAAGCAGTGTAAGGGAGATAAATCAAATACAATATTTGAATTACCTCCCTTACACTGCTTTTAAATTATGTATAAAGTAATGGTTAATGAACAACAAGTTGTTTTTTAAAAAAAAAAGACAATATGTGAACCTTAGAACTTTTTTATGCTATTTATTAATTCAACTAAATTAAAAATTATATCTCAGTGCTTTCATGGCCATGTGTGCAGAGGATGATATTTTCTTTTTAAATTATTGTAAATCATGACAATATGAGAGTGAAAAGTGAATGTTTCCATGGAACACACATATGATGCCCCTGATTGCATATCATATAAAGTTTTAAAGGGACATAACTGAAGAACGGTAAAAGTGACACTACCCAAATTTGTAGTTGATCTGACTTTTGTGGTAATAGGCATTGTGTATAAGTTTCATAATATATGGTTGAGGCAAACTTAAATAAGAGAACGGAAACTTTTATGTTTGTAAAGGGGCATAACTCTAGAACAGTAAACGTTACACAACCAAAATTCTAACTTGATCTGTGTTTTGTGGTAATAAGCATTGTGTATAAGTCTCATACCATTTGGTTGAGGAAAACTAAAGTTAGAGAACGGAAATGAAAAATTCAGCAATTTTCATTTGAAAAGGGGCATAACTCTAGAACGGTTAAAGTGACGCCACCAATTTTGAACTTGATCTGTATTTTGTGGTAATAAGCATTGTGTATAAGTTTCATAACATTTGTTTGTGGCAAACTTAAGTTAGAGAACGGAAACCAACTCAGTTTAGGGTAAAACGTAATGCCCCCACCGCTACGTAGGGGGCATAAAAAGAAATGGATTCCCAGACGTATACTTTCTTAAAGGAATGATAATGATTCAAAACATGGACATATGTTTTTTCTTTCAAAAATTCATAAAATAAATCTAGGCATAATTAATGAGGCATTGCGAACTGGTCAGATAGTGTGAGACATTAAATGTTCCTTACCGACCAATTATCAATAAGTGTAATTCTCCCACGAGACGCATTGAGAGATTTCTTGATCTAATTATAAAACCATTATTGAAGAGGCTTAACTTTTACATTCGAGATACAAAAGATTTCATTAATAAAATTGAGTCACACGAGGTCAAAAAGGCATATATACGCACGCCAACAAGAATACCTTGCGAGGTAGTAGTTGGGAGACTTTTGAAAAGGGACCCACGCTTAAACAATTTTAAGCAAAAAATCCCGAAACACTGATACAATTCTGAATTATAGGCAACAAACATTTATTTAGTTAGCAAAAACGGTTTAAAGTCTTGAGATTTATTACGTATGTTGGTTGAAGGAACCGTTCGCATTTCATAATAATTTTTAATTTTAAAACACAATTTCATAAATTCAGATATATTTATTAAAAGAACGTTGGTCTCAGTATATTATGTATTTTCAATCTTAATTCTTATATTGATATATAATTGCTTAAACAAATACCCGAACGCAAGATCAAATACATTGTACACTCTTTTTCTAACTTTCCATGTTTACAGAATCCATTGTATGCTTATTCAGTGTAAAAATCTAGAGTTAATTGTTTTGTGTATTTGTATTTTTTTCTTTTGCATAACATATTTTTTAAAGACCTCACGAAAGATTAACATGCAATTGTTAAATCTATTTCCTTATTTAAAAAAGTATATAATATATTTTTTTATTATTAAGAATATGATTATTTCCTGGGAATATTAACAAACAGTCTTTATTTTATTTGTTTTATAAGGTTATCCAAATACAACGTTTTGATTACTTCCCTTACACTGCTTTTAAATTATGTTTAAAGAAATGCATATTTATAAAGGAAGACCAGTAAAAATATCTGCAAATGTTGCATCTTTTTTTTTTAACAAAAAAATCCATATGAAAGATTTGACACCATATTTTAAATTCTGTTATAAAATGGATTAAGTTAGCACTATGGTAAATTTAAATGGGTAATTGGAAATTTGAAGGGTAATTGGAAATTTGAATTGCGATTATGATCATAACTTGAGGGAAATAATTTTTTGGGGGAAAATGGGGGGTAAAAAGAAATTGTGGGGGGTCAATTTTTTCTCATTTCAGATTTCAGAAATTAAAAAGAATTATTCTTCAAATATTATTTTTTTTTCAAATTTCAAATATTGAAAAATTTCCAAGAAGTAATCTTTAATTGCACAGTATGGCGCATTAGATTTGTAAAATCTTTGACCACATTTATTTATTTGTTATGCCGAATCTAACCGTGTATTTAGATTTTTAATTTTGGGTCCAGTTTTCAAATTGGTCTACATTAAGATCCAAACGGTCCTAAATTAAACTTAGTTTGATTTTAACAAAAAATGAATATATGGGGTTCTTTGATATGCTGAATCTAAACATGTATTTAGATTTTTTGATTTTGGGCCCAGTTTTCAACTTGGTCCAAATTGGGGTCCAAAATTAAACTTTGTTTGATTTCAACAAAAATTGAATATATGGGGTTCTTTGATATGCTGAATCTAACCATGTTTTTAGATTTTTTATTTGTGGGCCCCGCTATCAAATTGGTTCATATTGAGGTCAAAGGGGTCCAAAATTAAACTTTGTTTGATTTCATCAAAAATTGAATTATTGGGGTTCTTTGATATGCCAAATCTAACCGTGTATTTAGATTTTTAATTTTGGGTCCCGTTTTTTAGATGGGTCTACATTAAGGTCCAAAGGGTCCAAAATTAAACTTAGTTTGATTTTAACAAAAATTGAATTCTTGGGGTTCTTTGATATGCTGAATCTAAACATGTGTTTACATTTTTGATTATGGGCCCAGTTTTCAAGTTGGTCCAAGTTGGGGTCCAAAATCAAACTTTGTTTCATTTCAACAAAAATTGAATATATGGGGTTCTTTGATATGCTGAATCTAACCATGTATTTTGATTTTTGGGCGCCGTTATCAAATTGGTCCACATTGAGGTCAAAAGGGTCCAAAATTAAACTTTTTTTGTTTGATTTCATCAAAAATTGAATTCTTTGGATTCTTTGATGTCATGAGACGAACCGAACAACCCATTGTTGAGTTGCTGCCACTAATTAATAATTTTAATGAAATTTTTCAGTTTTTATACGCCCGTTTACGGGACGTATTATGGTATACTGTTGTCCGTCTGTCTGTCCGTCCGTCTGTCCATCGTCAACATGTCGGACAATAACTAAAAAAAAGCTTTAACCAATTTGTATGAAACTTTGGTGAATTGTTTATATCTATTGACGTGAGCTCCCTTTTGTTCTTTATAAATTTTAGATTTTACATTTCCGAGTTGTGGGGTTTTATTCATTAAAAAGGGACATTTTCCAGTTTTTATACGTCCGTTTACGGGACGTATTAGGGTATACCGTTGTCCGTCCGTCCGTCCGTCTGTCCGTCGTCAACATGTCGGATATTAACTCAAAAACGCTTTAACCAATTTGCATAAAACTTTGGTGAATTGTTTATATCTATTGACGTGAGCTCCCTTTCGTTTTTTATAAATTTTAGATTTTATGTTTCCGAGTTATGGGGTTTTATTCATTAAAAAAAGAGGGATTTTCCAGTTTTCGGACAATAACTCAAAAATGCTTTCAGCAGTTCTCATGAAACTTTGATGAATTATTGATATCTATTGATGTAAGCTCTCTTTAGAATTTGAAAAATTTTAGAT